ATAGCTTGAATCCCAGTCCCACACTCTTCACCACTACACCATACTGAGCCTAACAAAAATCTTTTAAACAAGAGGTGACAAAATAATGCAAGCTACTCCATCGTGCTTCTTGCACATGTTCAAGATGCTGACCCTGGTTGTCAAACTGGAGGTTGCTCACATATTGAGTATTGAATGTCTTAAAGAGTGAGAGCTCTGCTTTGAAAGGTGTCCTCAAAACAAAGATCATCCTTGCAAGTTCTCCTCTGGGTGTTGCCACCCACAATGGAGCAGCAGGTGGCTATTGAGCAAAGATCTTTCTCTGTGTTGGCCCCAGTTGATATTTTAAAGTTTTTATTTTTTGATATTTGCTCTTCTGGTCACCATTTTATTGCTTTTGATTCCTTATGTTGGTAAGCTGTTGCAAGGTATGTGACTGTTGGGCAGTGTATAAATTAACATATAAATGCATGTTGAAAGCTCTGTAGGATCAGTCTTTTGCAAAGGCCTTTCTGTCAAAGGCAAATGCATTAAATCAAATCAGAAATAAAAATAGAGAGCTGAATGCCTGCAGGAGAGCCTCTTCCCATATCTGTCCTCCTATTAGGAACTTCTGTCAAAGGCTTCTTGGACCGTGTCCCAAGACCAAGGCAAGATGGGTTTCAATGTGGGCAGGATGTTTACAGCTGCAATGTCTTCTATGGAATGCTCTGCCCAAGAAAGCCCACCAAGGACCTGTGTGGCTTCCCTCCAGGAAATATATATATTTTATTCACCAAAGAATTCCAGTGTCCTTTGCCAAGCTCTGTTTTCACCATGGTTTCTCATGCCATAAGGACCCACCCATTGTGGTTTGACCAGGCATTAGGAGAACTATGATCAGACCCCACAAAAGGCAGAATGAATACCCAGTACACCAGAAAGGCAGGTGAACCATAAAGCATATGGAAGGATGAGTCAGTCTTTTTCTCATCTGGGTCAGCTTAAGAAATATTCACTCAGTTTCCACATCAATCCAGGGTTTATTTTTGAAACATGCTTTCCCTCCCTCCCTCCCTCCCTCTCTCTCTCTCACACACACACAGAGACAGAGTTTTGTAGAGACTTTCCACAAAGGTACATATTTTGTATGGAATTTGTCCTGATGTACACAAGCAGCTTAATATTTTTTCAACTTTCCAGAAATGTGTACAAAATCAGAGAAATGTGTCACCTAAAATGTAATTGTGCTCCAATTCACATATTAGACTGGGAAGGGTGGAAGGCCACAGTTCATTTGAATATTAAAACCCTTCCCAAAAGAAAAGTCCCCCTCCACCTTTCCAACGTACCTAGTAAAGACTCTTGCCATGGTCCTTGGACTTTTACACTGACTTAGCTGGGTGGTCAAAGACATTAGGGTTTGCAAAATATATGGTGGGGCACAGGAGAGTCTAGCATTGAGTGGTGAAATAGCAGTCCTGTTTATTATCACACGTGTACCATCCACATTATCAGGGTGGATATTTCAGGGCTGTCCCACTCATATCTACTTTTGCATCACGGTAGCACTCGAGAAAATTGGAGTAAAGTTTTTGTGAACACAGATGCTAATTTCATAGGGTTTGGTGTTGAATTAATAGGGCTCGCACCAAGTGTTCAAGTGTATGTGATCACAGCAGGAAATTCTGCCCTGTCTAGGTTCACTATGAAATCTGGGATGCTAAGATTCAGAATGAGGGTTCTATGATGTAGGTCACCAGTAACAAGAAAAAAATTGCAGAAGTCTGCACATATTTTCCTTATTTGGTTAGATCCTTTGAGCCTTTTGCACAACTGGTGGAGGCTGAAGGACGCCCATATTCCTTAATTGCAAAAACTGTTATTCTGCAGCAATCATTTTTTTCTAACTAATTGGTCTTTGGTGTTCAGTTCAGGTCTCAGTATTATAATGTAGCATTTGGGGAAAAATATGCAGCCCAACACACCAAGACTGGAGACCAAGATAGAGAAGACCTCCACAGCCACCATGTACTTCCCCTTGGTGCTGAGGTA